TATGTTTTATAGAACAGTATAATACAATAAGAGGTTTTATAATTTATACTAGGTATACTATGAGTTAATAATGCGTTAAATTTAGTACACATAATATAATATTATAATAAACATTATTATATAGATTAATATTTCGGTTTTAAGTATAGGTACAGCAAAAATATACCACATATGGTACATAATAATTTTTTTTTTTTAATCGTCAGTCTGCAAGGGTGCGAGCCGGGCGCACAGACCCGACGCTCGACTCTTGCGCGCTGCTGTGCTGCACGGGTGCATGTCCTGTGGGTCGTGTGGTCTCTAAGTTATGGTACAGAGGCACCGACTGAGTGATCTTGCTCGATAGTGTTGACTGCATTGATTCTACCCTGACTTGTTGCACACCCGTGGCTCGCAATACTGCATCAAACTTTGTGAACATTTCCTTTTGCGCTTTCACCATGTTTTCCATCAATTGTATCATCTTATCCAGACTGGTGACCACAGTTTGCTGGTAGTCGGTGTATATCGGGCCTTCGACCTCTTCATCTCGTTCCCATGAGCACCCGGCCCCTTCGTTGACAGCGCGCGGCACGTCCTTGTCAGTGACGTGTCTCTTCTCTCTGCGAGGGGGGGATGTGGAGGGTTGTCTTCTTCGTTTGTGGTCTGCTGTGCTTCTTTTTACCGTCTCCACTTTTGGGGGACACTGCATGCCCGACATTTCRATCAAATCAGCCAGGTCCTCTTCGTCGCTATCACGTATGTCGTCTGTCTCTAGGCAAATGTAATCTGACGCTCTCGAATCTGATCGCTCACTGCGAGGGGGAGGGGGTGAGTCAGCTTCCTCGAGCACCCTGGCAGTGACACGCTCTTGCCTGGCTTTGGCTCTTTTTGCCCTTTCCTTCATTCTCTCCTTTTGCCTCTTTTCCTCCTCTTCTCTTTCTCTTTCCTTCTCCAGTCGGGTYTGCCTCTTCTGCGCTTGCCTTTTCTCTGCTTCTGCCTTTGATGGTTTTCGAAGGGCCATCGCGTTGCACTCTGGTCAATTTTATTATAATAAAATGTGATTATTCTCTCGGCATTACCGTCCTATTATTTCTTTTTATTATTTTATTTATATTTTAATGTATGCGCCCTACAGTTCAAAATAATTTGAGTTTTTCAAGATTTATAGATTTTTCTTTTGTAAGTTTTGTGCAGTGGACAATTAACTGCCACATACGACGTACCTACCGGTCCACTCAGCACATCAAACTATAAATACTTATAAATTTATAACAACTCGTATGTAATTCACTTTTTAATTTTTATGCATCGAAATTCTCGGAAATAAATACTGCTCCAGAATACGAAATTAAAAACATATGTTTTCATTGCAAATTGTAAAAATCTTTAAAAACATAATAACGATATCAATAAA